CAGCCACTCCGAGGGTGTTTTGGAAGCAGCACTCAGAGCCCAGCACCACGCAGCGGCTCAGCGATGGGGAGCGAGGAGCCAGCAGCCCTGATACAGCAGCGCTGTCACCAATACTCCCAAGGGATGGGCAGTATTTGAGAGCAGCCTGGTGCAGGATCAGCACAAGGGCAGGTTTGGAGTGTCCATGGAAGCCCATCTGCCACCCCCATCCACAGACACGGGACGCCTCAGCCAAGCAGGAATGTCCAGTGGTAGGACACTGGTGGGAATGGTCCAGTTGAGCTGAGCCGATGTCCTGCCACACTTATTGGTGGCAGGCTCAGAACAAAAAATTCCTCTGAGGAGTCCCATCCCTGTGGCAAATGCCTGTGGGAGGTGAATGGCACCCCAGGAGAGCAGAGCCAGAGAGACAGCTCCATCCCACCACCCTCAGTCTTGACCTGAGTCTGCCCAGTCTCACTGTTGAGGGAAACTGAGGCACGGCTGGTTGGGAGGTTCACCTTGCTCCCTGCTGGCACTAGGTCCCCCTTCTGACCCCGGGGCTTGTGCAGAGGAGCGGGCAGCATCCCCTGCTCTGCCTGCAGATGGACATGGGCACAGACAGCACCCATCTGGGATGTTCCCAGAGAGCCAGCACCATCAGCTGCAACAGATGCTGCAGCCTCAGAGTCCTGCTCAGTGTGAGCCAGTGTCCAGGCTTGGGGTGTTGTGGCCATGGCAGGTACACAAGGACCAGGGTTGAATTCCGGGGGAGTTTGCTTCAAGGGAAGCTGAACTCCACCCTCTCCTGCAGAAAAAGTGTCCCTGCAGGACCCCCAGCCCCTCAGCACTTCCCGAGTCACCGCCGCTCCACACCAGCATCCCTACTCACCCACAGCCCAGGCATCCCGAATCCACAGGGAGATATTTGACAGTGCCATCGGAGCTGTTTCAATCCAGGCTGAAGCTCCCGTGAGACGGCGCCTCTCGCTCAAATTCACCACCAAACTTTTCCCTCTCAGGCTCGCTCCCCACGCACAGGAGAGTCTGGGGACGCGGCTGGAGCTGCTGGAGCTGCTCGGACCCTCTCTGCCAGCGCGGAGCTATGGCAGGAATGATGTAATGGCAGCAGCGGGCGATGCGCCATCAGCAGAGCAGCCATGGCAACGGATACGGGCACAGCGGCAAGCGCCGCCGGTCCGGAGCACCGAGCACCGAGCACGCCAGAGGGCGAGGGTGGTGAACTTGGGGGCCGAGAGTGATCCTGACAGCTCCTCAACCCACCGTCCGGAGCCGCTGTGCCACAGTGCCGGTACCTTGTACCTCTGGCTACAAGCAAGCGCCGCGACCCGCCGCCAGCACCAGACTGCTCACTGCCAACGCGTGCGGCTTGGTGACATTCCCGTGGTATGCAGCCAAACTCACGCTGCTCCACGGCAAGCGGAGAGGAAGGGAAAAGAGCAAACAGTGGGAGCTGGCAGCGGACGCAGAAACGCCTCCTGTCCCAAGCTCACCCCCCACCGAACCGGACCCGCCGGGCCAGCTCCCTGCGGGACGTGGAGCGGCATCCGTGTGCACGGTAGCTCCGGGGCCGGATGCCCACCCAGGTCTGAACGATGTCCCAAAGTGACACCCCACTGACACCCCCAGGCCTGGTGCCACAAGGCAGTAGTGCTCACCAGGCAAGTGCTCACACACACAGTGCTCAGGACGAGCCCTTGTTGGGACAGCCAACAGACTGTGCCCTGTCCAAATCCAACCCTCCCCAGGACACTGTCCCTCCATTGTGGCACAGCTCTGAGCCCCTGGTGAGGCAGACCCACCTGCACAGGTGTCTGACCCACTGGTGGTTGAGCCCAGAAGAACTAGAAGCCTTTCTGGGGTGCCCATGCCCAACTCTCCAGTGTGGCCATGCTGGGACCCTGGTGTTGCCCTGCTCAGCACATCCATGTGCTCCTGCAGAGGTGCCCAGCAGGACTGCAGGCACTGAGGAATGACACTGTCTTGACACACCAGATCTGCTTGAGGCTTTTGGCTCTTCCATGCTCCCTGTTTAACATGAAATCAGCTGATTTTTGTACTGATGGGAGATAAGGGTGCTGCAGAAGTTGCTGGCAGTAGAGGGGTGGGTTTGGCAGCTGTGGGGGTCCCTCAGCTCATGGGGAGAATGTTGGATTATGTGAGAGGTTTCTATGAAAACCAACAGCAGCAAAACAGTCAATAACATCACCATGCATCAGTAGGGCTCGGAGTTAACAGTGTGCTAGGACACTCTGCCCTGGGTACATTTGGTCCCAGCAGCGTAAGATGGGCCCCGGTCAGGGAGTTTTGGCAGGAGGGGAGGTGCACGTGCTGCAGGAAGATTTGGCTGATGAGGCTTGTCTAGGAGGAGCTTGGTGTGCCATCCACCTGTGCTGTGGGGATGGGAACTGCCTGCAGCTGTGCTGGCAGCAGGGCTTGGCCTGGGACCGTGACTGGCCAAGGTGGACTCAGGCTGCTCCCTACCAAGGCACCGAGATCCACTGCTCCCGAGGGTGGAGCAGCAGCACTGGGGTGGAGGCTGGAGCTCCAGAGCCTGGCTGGACCCAGATCCCTGCACCAAGCCCTCCACCATGGGCAGCAAGACCAGCCCTTGGAGCCCTCTTCCAGTCCCGCCACACCTCCCTGGCAGCCTGGCATCCTCCTCATACTGTGACCCTCACTCTCTCATGCTTCCCAGCAAAAATCCAGGCACAAATCTTTCCTGAGAGCCTCAGGAAACCTGACAAGACAACCTGTCAGCCCCAGTCAGTCCTGGCACCCCGGCATCACTGCATCACAGCCAAGGGCACTGCCAGGCACAGGGTGGCCATGGCCAGCTGCCCGCCAGCCTTCCTACAGTGATGTCTCCAGCCTGGCCAGGACTATTTGGTGGCACATGGATGCCCAGGCAGTGCTCACCACTCTGCCCAGCGGGCAGGCTGCCTGTGCCAGAGAGGCTGCTTCCAGAGGGGTGCTTCCAGGAAAGCGCCGCTTCCCCTGTGCCTGGCTGGTTTTACACTCTGCGGGACTGGGACAATGCGAGGAAGTCGCCTGAGAGGGGAATGTGGCCAGAGGCCCCGGGACAAAGGGGCCCGAGACCTGAAATCAGCCACAGAACAAGAGATAGCAGTCACAGAATTGAGAGTCCTGGGTGGCTGTGGTGTTTGTGTTGACCCACAGTCCTCACTCCTGCTGCCACCAGCATGTGGGAGCTGCCAGGAGGGCACAGTGCCACAGAGACAGGCAGGATCTATCCCCACAGGACTGAGGAGTGCTCAGTGGGACATGCGGGCTAAGAGTCTCCATCTTTCTCTTGCTTTTTCAGAGCAAAGACACCCCACCAGGCTGGGTGGGGAACGGCAGAAGGATTTAAAAGGGACAGGGACATACTCCAGGTCAGGCTGGGGAAGGTAGGACAAGACTGATACTGCTGGGCAGCACTGACCCTGGGGCTATTGCATGGCCTCTAGAGGATCTGTGCCCAGCGGCTGCCCCCAGCCCCGGGTCCTGCCCTGCAGAGCGAGCAGTGCCTGCCGACCCCACCGCCCCACTG